GGTAAAATTTCCCAGAATAATTCTGTAGACAAGACGAATTGGTATAATAATGACAATTGGAAAGGAACGTTTCTTTTTTTTTTAAATTTTGTATTTAATATAACTATGACAACAAAATCATTTTGCTTTTGCTGTTTGCCTTGATAAAGTCGGAAGACGAAACGCGTCGGCAAAAAAACTAAGCTGGCAGACCCTATCTCTGGCAACAGGAGTCCGCACCATACCACACAAGGAGGAGAACACAGTCATGGCTGTCAGACAATATCTGCGACTGCAACACACAGTATATCTGGCCATCTAACCCCACTGACTGCACCCACTTGATTATTATGTGCAGCGTGCATTTGAGCGAGGCCAACAAAATTCCTTGTAACACCAAAGAGGAAATGAAGGCAAGGATTATGGCAGCTTAAACAAGGAGACGGTCTAGAAGACATGTAGGAGATTCCGAAGGTGTCTGGAGGCTGTGGTTGAAGCCAATGGTGATTGTATAGAATAAATTTACTCTTTCCTACTTCAAAATATTTTTGGTTAATTTTTGGTATATCTGTTAAAATATGATGACAGTGTTATTTTCATCGATGCATAATTTAGGTGACAATTTATCCATCGCACCCTGCATATGTGTTTTCTCTGCCCTTGTGTATGTTGTTTGGAAAAAAAACTTCGGAAATGTAAGGAAAATTGTAAACCAAACCGGCAAAAGCAAACCCTGTTTTTTCTTAGACAACAGCGCAATATATATATATATATATATATATATATATATATTAGTTAGTTAGTTAGTTAGTTAGTAAACAATAAAATCCCAAATTACCTCATATGTCGAATTGATTTATTTCAACTGACGAAAAAATTCGTCAGTCTTATTCAACCCAGTATAGACTTCGTCTCAGAATTATTATATATATATATATATATATATATATATATATATATATATATATATATATATATGCAAAACACACACACACACATATATTTACATGCAAACACACACACACACGCACACACATACACACACACACACACATATATATATATATATATATATATATTAATGTAGTGCTGATATAATTTATCTATATATACTGGAGTTGTTCCAAAATAATGTAAATCTCTGTCTGTCGTTCTGTTACATATATGTGTGTGTGTGTTCGTGTGTATCGTGTATAATGATAGAGAGAAAGAGAATGGTTGACAGATATACACATAACATTTGAATAAATGAAACATTTACAAAAGGCTACTTCATGGATCATCTAATGCGAAATAAATAACTTCGCAATGACTTACGAAACATGCATTTTGACACAGGTGCTCTCGCACGCACACATACACACACACACACACACACGCACACACACACATATATATATATATATATAGAGAGAGAGAGAGAGAGAGATAGATAGATAGATATATGTTCTTTTATGTATAGCGACTTTTCTGCTGTTGTCGACAATTTTTGACGGAACTTCGAAAAGCTAAGCAAAAAAACAGCAAAGCACCCCCCCCACTCCGCAAGCAAGCTTCGTCTACTATAAGCAGGAGGATATCTTATTTAAAGCTGGGACATGACTTGCTTGCATCATGTCCGAACGACAGCATTCGGAAGGTGGAAGACCTACACATATGTCAGTGTCAAACCAGAGAACAGATGGCAGGGGAAAAAAAAAACGCTTCGATTCTGTAAGTCCTGAGTCTTGATGACACAAAACAAATTGCCATTTCTAACCCTGTTTCTCTGTCCATATACAATTTGAACGCTGGCGCACATACCCGCTCGTTTACACTTGTATATAGATATAAATATGCTTTTCTTTGCCATAAATTTGAATGAGCAAGCTTGCCAGACATCTTTGTCTGTGACAGGAAACAGCTCAAATGTCGACTACAATTGTCCTCTAGAGCCAAAAGAAAAAAGGTTCTTCTGTCTTTTAATTTGGGTCTTGCCGTGATGAAGACTAGAAATATTCAGGTAATGAGAACGCAACAGTATTAGTAATATGCTTTGTTAGTTTCAAGAAAACAAAAAGATAGGATTATTCATATTAAATAGAATGTGAAAAGTGATTGAATTCAAGGCTTTTTCGCTCGAAATCAAGTCATTTCAGCGTGTTTATGCAACATATACAAAGTAAAATTTCGACGTATCTGTCTTAATTTCTGAGATGAGGTATTATGTACACTATTTACATTATTCGGACTATTGACCTCATCTTTGTTGCCATATTTATTACAGCGTTTCGGCCTTTCAGTATCTGTCTATATTTCTGAGATGAGGTATTATGTACACTATTTACATTATTCGGACTATTGTTCTCATCTTTGTTGTCATATTTATCACAACGTTTCGGCCTTTCAGTATCTGTCTATATTTCTGAGATGAGGTATTATGTACACTATTTACATTATTCGGACTATTGTCCTCATCTTTGTCGCCATATTTATTACAACGTTTCGCCCTTTCAGTATCTGTCTATATTTCTGAGATGAGGTATTATGTACACTATTTACATTATTCGGACTATTGTCCTCATCTTTGTCGCCATATTTATTACAACGTTTCGCCCTTTCAGTATCTGTCTATATTTCTGAGATGAGGTATTATGTACACTATTTACATTATTCGGACTATTGTCCTCATCTTTGTTGTCATATTTATCACAACGTTTCGGCCTTTCAGTATCTGTCTATATTTCTGAGATGAGGTATTATGTACACTATTTACATTATTCGGACTATTGTCCTCATCTTTGTCGCCATATTTATTACAACGTTTCGCCCTTTCAGTATCTGTCTATATTTCTGAGATGAGGTATTATGTACACTATTTACATTATTCGGACTATTGTCCTCATTTTTGTTGTCATATTTATCACAACGTTTCGGCCTTTCAGTATCTGTCGATATTTCTGAGATGAGGTATTATGTAAACTATTTACATTATTCGGTCTATTGTCCTCATCTTTGTCGCCATATTTATTACAACGTTTCGCCCTTTCAGTATCTGTCTATATTTCTGAGATGAGGTATTATGTACATTATTTACATTATTCGGACTATTGTCCTCATCTTTGTCGCCATATTTATCACAACGTTTCGCCCTTTCAGTATCTGTCTATATTTCTGAGATGAGGTATTATGTACATTATTTACATTATTCGGACTATTGTCCTCATCTTTGTCGCCATATTTATTACAACGTTTAGGCCTTTCAGTATCTGTCTATATTTCTGAGTTGAGGTATTATGTACACTATTTACATTATTCGGACTATTGTCCTCATCTTTGTCGCCATATTAATTACAACGTTTGAATTTCTGGGTATTATAAACCTAATGTCATCATCATCATTTTTTACCAGTGATCATATTGGAATTTTTGCTATTATCATTTTATGTTTTTACCAGAGCTCATATTGCAATTTTTTTTGTTATTATCACTTTTCTCTCGCACTCCTTATTACTGCTCCCCATATTGTATTCATTTCTATGCTTGGTCGGCTCAGGAGAGTTTTGTGGCCTAGCTTATTCCTTACGTTTACGGTTTTCCAATGGTGTTCTTTGTCTATGATCTCAACCTGATCCTACAGTGACAGCACCCAAAGAGTGTGAGTTCAATAACCGGTGGAGAACTTGGAGAGGGGAATTAACAGGAGATAACTGACAACTGACATGGCACGTGGAACTAGAACAGTCTACCCCAGTGAGCGAAATAAAGGGTTCAGTTCGACATTCCAACCATCTGAAGAAGGCCGGGGCGTACAACGGCTGAAACGTTTTAATAAATATAGCGACAAAGATGAGGACAGCGGTCCGAATTATGTAAATACTGAAAATTTTGACATTTGTAAATCACGAAAACAAATGAAACTATGTTGAAATCAAGAATTTTTCGCTCGAAAGACATTGTTTTCTGTTTTAGATAGCTTACACAAAGTTATAGTAAACTATAATTCATATATATCTATTATCCTGGTGGAATAATCCTCGGCTTTTGCGGTGCATGAATATGTGCAAATTAGCGGCCAATAACATGTTTTTCCAGACCAACAGGCTCAACTGATGCTCCTTGAACGTACCTCACGCCATTATGGGAACGTGAACAGTGCTTTGTTGAAAACTCGGGCCCATGGTTTTATAGAGGTTCTGCGACGCTGCGACATTACCATCAGCCTGAAACCACAGGGTTCATTATTCATCGGGCCATGCCAAAGTTTGCCAATAGTCAGGGGTCCAATTAACGACATCAGAAGCGCAAGTAAGACGTCGTTAGACATATTCAGAAGCGGAAGAACGTCGAAGAATCTTACTGGATATGCGTCTATTATCTCCTATACGTAATTTGGATGCGATTTGAGCCAGTGTCGCTTGTCTGTCACTGCAGACAATTGTGCCGAAACCCTCCTCTGGCAGCGATCATTAAGGAACCATGCTCGTCCACAACACACTCCACCTCCCCTCAGGTATCACCGATAGACACGCGACACCGTAGTTCAAGTGTTCCGACAAGTTCAGGAACGGAACGTCCAGTCCATCTTGTTCCCAAAATCATACCCCATTCCAACTTCCATAATTCAATTTACTTTCTCATGAGAAAAGGAGGCGGTGTCACATTGACTCATCAGATGTCAGAGTACAAATTTAGTAGGTTTGGGCATCTTTATGACTTCAAAGTACGGTGGCGCCATCTATCATTACCTTTACACGCTGAATGACTGTTGGTACGTCAGTTTTTTTATTGATTGATTCGTTTTCAGGTTATTTAAAGCCAGAAAATATTTTTAGATTATAAGAATTTCGTGGGGGGAGGGAGATAATAATGATTTAGTGATACGTCTTACAAATTAACCCATAGCTCGAGGGAGAAGAACTGGACTCATACCTAAGAGTATTAGCGCGTAAGCGAATATAATGAACCCAACTGGAATTGGAACTCGTCTCTGCGCTTAATAATTACAAGCCATCATCCATTACACCACCCGCAAATCCAGGCTAACAGCACTTGGTATTTCCAAGCGGTCACCCATCTGGGTACTGACTAAGCTCGATGTTGCTTAACTTCGGTGATCAAACGAGAACCTCTGTTTCGATGTTATGTGGCTGTAAACCCAAACGGAGGTTAAATTACCTAACAATATTCTGTAAATGGATGGGATAGCAATATATGGTGACTGGGGTTAAATTGAAAACACAGAAATTATTAAGAGCTACAAAGGAGAGGAAGTCGGGAAGAGACATGAATGGATCACGGTGAAGAAGAATCAAAGTCTGTATCTTCTGCCCTCAGGTCCGCTCGACGATTGAAGCACTCGGAGGACTGACGATGATGATGATGAGAGCCTGAATTAGTCCTGGGTATGACGATAAACTACATCCGGCAGCAAGGCCTCTGATTGGTAGATTGGAGGTTTTGAGGAACGCGGAACAACCTCTTAATTGCTGTTGTTCCAAGGTCCACCTTGACTCGGAGTGGTAGCACTCGTTAGGGCCACAGTTATGGGCAAATAGTGATCCCCTCCCCACAGACACTCTGAAATTATGTAAATACTTTTTTTATAGTAAAATTACCAGCAATACATTTTTATGTCAAAAAATAATAATAGCAGCAATACCTGTTCTTAGAAAAATTAGCAACAATACATTTTTAAAGCATGATGACAAGTAATACATTTTATCTGCAGTTGAAAGCATAGAATTGCATTCAAAACATATTAGGTTGAAGCCATAAAATTGTTCAAATTCTTTACATTTCGGTATTGAATGACCCATAGAGGTGTTGATATGCCGCTAAATAAAATCAGCCAACTGAATTAGCTGTTTTAATGTTTAGAATGTGCCGGTCTGTTCATTCTGGTTCAATCGGAGAATTTGCTATCTTGTTTGGGAGAATTTTTCATATTTCTTTCCCACGTAAAAAAATACCTTTCGTCTCCGTTTCACAGCAAATATATCAATTTGCAAGGCTGGACTTTAAGTAAGTTAAAACTTATAATTGTCTTTTAAGTGGGCAGATTAGTGTTGGAGCAGTTAAATCGTTGGGCAGATCAAAGTAGCGAGGTGATTAATCTCACCATTGCCTGCAGAGTGTAAGATCGCCTTCTTTTCCCTCCTTGCTTTCAAACTCTATATGAGAGCTCCGAAGAGTAAGTGTTTTAACAGAGAACGGAAAATGTGACCGCAAAATGCGAACGCACATTGGAATAGCAAAAAGATGTATTCCAAATGCAAAGAAAAATATTAAGAAAATAGAAACTTTTGTTGCAAAGAAAATAGTGCTGAACTGCTATATGATATCAATCGTCCCATATGACTGTAAATACTGGACAATTTCCTCCCAGATGAAGAGATGTCTTGAGGCTACAGAAACAAAGAGTCCTGAACTGCTATGTGATATCAATCGTCCTATATGGCTGTAAATACTGGACAATTTCCTCCCAGATGAAGAGATGTCTTGAGGCTACAGAAACAAAGAGTCCTGAACTGCTATGTGATATCAATCGTCCTATATGGCTGTAAATACTGGACAATTTCCTCCCAGATGAAGAGATGTCTTGAGGCTACAGAAACAAAGAGTCCTGAACTGCTATGTGATATCAATCGTCCTATATGGCTGTAAATACTGGACAATTTCCTCCCAGATGAAGAAATGTCTTGAGGCTACAGAAACAAAGAGTCCTGAACTGCTATGTGATATCAATCGTCCTATATGGCTGTAAATACTGGACAATTTCCTCCCAGATGAAGAGATGTCTTGAGGCTACAGAAACAAAGAGTCCTGAACTGCTATGTGATATCAATCGTCCTATATGGCTGTAAATACTGGACAATTTCCTCCCAGATGAAGAGATGTCTTGAGGCTACAGAAACAAAGAGTCCTGAACTGCTATGTGATATCAATCGTCCTATATGGCTGTAAATACTGGACAATTTCCTCCCAGATGAAGAGATGTCTTGGCTACAGAAACAAAGAGTCCTGAACTGCTATGTGATATCAATCGTCCTATATGGCTGTAAATACTGGACAATTTCCTCCCAGATGAAGAAATGTCTTGAGGCTACAGAAACAAAGAGTCCTGAACTGCTATGTGATATCAATCGTCCTATATGGCTGTAAATACTGGGCAATTTCCTCCCAGATGAAGAAGATGTCTTGAGGCTACAGAAACAAAAGAGTCCTGTACTGCTATGTGATATCAATCGTCCTATATGGCTGTAAATACTGGACAATTTCCTCCCAGATGAAGAGATGTCTTGAGGCTACAGAAACAAAAGAGTCCTGAACTGCTATGTGATATCAATCGTCCTATATGGCTGTAAATACTGGACAATTTCCTCCCAGATGAAGAGATGTCTTGAGGCTACAGAAACAAAAAAGTCCTGAACTGCTATGTGATATCAATCGTCCTATATGGCTGTAAATACTGGACAATTTCCCCCAGATGAAGAGATGTCTTGAGGCCTACAGAAACAAAGAGTCCTGAACTGCTATGTGATATCAATCGTCCTATATGGCTGTAAATACTGGACAATTTCCTCCCAGATGAAGAGATGTCTTGAGGCTACAGAAACAAAGAGTCCTGAACTGCTATGTGATATCAATCGTCCTATATGGCTGTAAATACTGGACAATTTCCTCCCAGATGAAGAGATGTCTTGAGGCTACAGAAACAAAGAGTCCTGTACTGCTATGATATCAATCGTCCTATATGGCTGTAAATACTAGACAATTTCCTCCCAGATGAAGAGATGTCTTGAGGGCTACAGAAACAAAGAGTCCTGAACTGCTATGTGATATCAATCGTCCTATATGGCTGTAAATACTAGACAATTTCCTCCCAGATGAAGAGATGTCTTGAGGCTACAGAAACAAAGAGTCCTGAACTGCTATGTGATATCAATCGTCCTATATGGCTGTAAATACTAGACAATTTCCTCCCAGATGAAGAGATGTCTTGAGGCTACAGAAACAAAGAGTCCTGAACTGCTATGTGATATCAATCGTCCTATATGGCTGTAAATACTAGACAATTTCCTCCCAGATGAAGAGATGTCTTGAGGCTACAGAAACAAAGAGTCCTGAACTGCTATGTGATATCAATCGTCCTATATGGCTGTAAATACTGGACAATTTCCTCCCAGATGAAGAGATGTCTTGAGGCTACAGAAACAAAGAGTCCTGTACTGCTATGTGATATCAATCGTCCTATATGGCTGTAAATACTAGACAATTTCCTCCCAGGTGAAGAGATGTCTTGAGGCTACAGAAACAAAGAGTCCTGAACTGCTATGTGATATCAATAGTCCTATATGGCTGTAAATACTGGACTATTTCCTCCCAGATGAAGAGATGACTTTAGCCTACAGAAACAAAGAGCGCTGAACTGCTATGTAATATCAATCCTCCAACATGGCAGTGAATGCAGGATAATCTCCCCACAGATGAAGAGAAGGCAGAGATCTGGTTCTACAGTATTATAAAGTATTTACATTTTTTTAGAGATGTTGTTCTACAGAAGGATGCTGAGAATACCATGGATAGAGCATGCAAACAACAAAAAGGCTTTGAGGAAAATGGAAACATAGACGACACTCATACTTACCATCAAAAAGAGACAGTTGAAATATCTAGCACGCATAGAAAATTTGACACTCTCAGGACATACTAAAGGCAAGATAGACAGATATTTTCTCAGTGTTGAGTTCTCATTCTGAATAACATCTTAAAGTCCCTAAGACAATTTATTTCAACTCGAGACAATCTACTTAGTCAAAACAAAAAGCATGAATGTTCGGTCTCAGTGTGATCGATTTACAAGGATGTGCTGAAAAATTAATAGGCTGATTATGAAAGAATGATGCTAGAGCTGTGAAACCTTCCATACATTAATTTCAACTCCTCTTATTAATAACGGTATTTATTCTTTATAAGTAAACTGGCACCTGACTGTTCAAAGAAGTCTTGAAAAGTAACTATTAGCGACTTCTCTCGAAAAATGGTCATAATTTCACATCGTGATGTTATCTACCTGTAGAAAAGGAGTTTATCCCTCATTAATATTTATGGTAACATTGATGACGCTCCAGCTTTGTCAAGTGCAAAAGTGGGCAACTGAATTTCGGAGGGTAAGGGAGAGTCTTGAAGAATACCCCAGGTTTGGACGTCCTGCAATTGCCACTACCCAGAAAAATATTGAACGTGTTCACCATATATTGTTTGGATAACAGGCGATTGACTATAAATAGCGAGTTGAGAACATTAGGCACACTGAACTTGGTATGACGGAGGTTTCTGCTCGGCGGGTGCCACGTCTTCTAACACTTGATCAAAAGTGCACCAGGCTGATCATTGTTTGAGGCAGATCCAGCTGAGATCCTCGAACGTTTCCTAAACCAGAATGAGTGTTGCGTTCATCACTTTGCCACAGAGACAGAGACGATCCACGCAGTGGAAACGCCCTCTCATCACCTGCTCCAAAGAAGACTAAGGTTATTTCCTCTTTAGGGAAGATAATGGCCTCAGTTTCTTATGCAAAAGACATTGTGTTTATTGACTTTCAAAAAGGCCACACTATCAATGAAGGGTACTATGCCAAATTACTGAGGTACTTACGAAAGGATATCAAACCAAAAGCCAAAAGAAAACTTACGAAAAGTGTCTTGTTTCATCAAGGCAGTACTCAGCACACACACACACACACACACATATATATATATATATATATATATATATATATATATATATATATATATATATATATATATATATATATATATATATATATATATATATATATATATATATATATATATATATATATATATATATATATATATATATATATATATCAATTGATATCAATGGCTTTTCTGTGTGTTTCTGTGACTTTGTCCTTATTTGACTATCATCTGTTCCCCAACATAAAAAATAACACTTGATTGCAAACCAGTATCACAGTGATGATAACGTCATATCTGTTGTTCCTAACATTTTTTTGAAAAAACAAAATGAACAGTCTTCTTTGAAAAGAAACGATTTACCTGGAAAGGAACAATCCAGTTACAGGGTGCGATGGATAAATTGTCTTCTGAA